CCCCCGTCATAATCAACTAAAAAAAAGAAAAAAAAAAACAGAAAATTGAATAGCATCCGCCCACTTATCCATCACCGCCTGTCACTGACCAAAAGCCTAACGGGAAATCAAAATTCCCTCTTCCTCAAAAACCCTAATAAGGTTATCAGGAAAAAAAAAAAAAAAAACATATCACCCAGCAGAGCGTAGGGACCATTCTAAAATACCTCGTTACAGCTTCCAGCCCTCCTCCCTCCTCTCCTCCTCCCTCCTCCTCCTCCCTCCTCCCTCCTCTCCTCCTCCCTCCTCCCTCCTCTCCTCCTCCCTCTTCTCTTCCTCCTTTTCTCCTCGTGCCTTTTCTCTTTTTCCTGCCCTTCTCTTTCACAATTTTTTTTTCCTTTTTCAATTGTCAATTTTTTTTTATTTTTTTTTTGGATAACAGTTTATCCCACGTGGACGGCAGATCAATCCTTCATGGTTCGGGCAGAAAGCACGTGGCCAAAATCCTTGCAAGGCAGCTTTCCATGCTCGGCGCGCAGTTATATTCCCCCCCAAGGCACCCGATCCCAACGGTCTGCCCTCAGACCGGATGACCATGTGGTCGATGCCCCCAACCAACATCTTACTTCTCTTCAAACTCCTCCGTCCCGATCCCGATGGCTGCGTCCCGATCTGGCTGGCTGCGTCCCGATCCTCCGTCCCGATCCTCTTCCGAGTGCAATATTTGCAAGCTGAGAGGAAGAGGAGGAGGAGGAGGACGACGAGAACGAGGAGGAGGAGGAGAGAGGAGCAGTAGGCAAGGCTATTTACTGAAGATCTTTTGAAGCGTGTACGTTTCAAGCTGAGAACCGTAACCGTACATGCGGATAAGTAAAAATGCATATCTATCGATGCTTGTACGAGAAGCAAGCAAATCCATGGCCACTGTTTACTTCACACTACATGCACTGCGTAGCGACTACCGGTAGCCTTGTTATTCTCAAGTCTTCATGCTTCTCCTTCTTCTTCTTCTTTACTGCCTTTGTCCACCACCATCGTCCATCGCCGATCACGAGCTCAGAAAAGGGCCCAATGACTTGAAAGATCGGCAGAGCTTGCACCGTCGCTGCTGCTCCTATTCTCATCATTTCTCTCTGCCTCCTCCTCCTCTCATTCCTCTCTTGTCGTTTGGTCCACAAACAGCAAATTCTTCTTCTTCCTCCTTTTCTCCTTCTTCCTCTTCTTCTTCTTCTTCCTTGTCTTCCTCATCGCCATCGTGATCGTCATCATCATCATCATTAGGGCACAAAAAAAAAAGATAGTTAATCAACGGTATCTTCCTACCCCTCGCTACTAGCACTCCTGCTCCTCCTCTTCCTCCTCCTGCCATATGTACGTCTCCACCATTGCGCTTCCCTCCTCCTCCTCCTCCTCCTCCTCCTCCTGCTGCTGCTGCTGCTGCTGCCATATCTATTCAACCAAATCCGTTTTTCTTTCTCGATTACTTTCCCTCCTGGAACTGTCTCCCCCTCCTCCTCCTCCTCCTCCTCTTCCTCCTCCTCCTCCTCCTTCTCCTCCTCTCCTCTCCTCCTTCTCCTCCCTCCTCCTCCGTCCTCCTCCTCCCTCCTCCCTCGTCCTCATACTCCGTCCTCCTCCTGCTGCTATCCACCAAGCAATCCGCTTTTCAGTCTCGATTAGCTACTAGCCTCCTGGTGCTCCTGTCTGTACTGCTCCTTGAGTTTCTCCAGAACTTCGTCGCTCGTGAATCTCTGAAGGCATTTGTTCATTTCTTTGGCCTGGCTTCTGCACGCCCACACCACAGAGAACATCCTCCCTGTTGCGCATTCCGCGAATCTGGCCACCACATCGTCGCACTCCTTCAGCGCTGAAGTCTTCATCT